ACTAAAACTGTGGTCAGCATCCAATGTCGAAAACTTACAGAGATATTTCATTTTGGAGAATTATTTACCGCTACATGCTTTTCAAGAAAACTCAGATGTTTTGATCAGCTGGTCTAAAAGATAGCCGGTGCATATCAACTCAAACAAATGTGTCTACACGCCGATCGGTCACACAAAGTTAAATAGCTACAATATAAAAGAAGGATTTGTGCCAGCAGTTTGAACTCACAAGAGCCTTGTGGTAGCTGTGAGCGACGATCTGAAGGCATAAGAATCTAGACCTCAGATTATAAGGTGATCTGATTTTGATTCATTTAATGCTAACAAATGGTTTTGGACCTATTATATCTCGCTTTTCTCCCAACCAGGTCAGAAGAACTCAGAAGACATACCAGATAAGTAAAAAAGACGGATGGTATTCAGGTTTTAACACCGAGTTATCGATTCTTGTATAGGACCAGTGAAATATCAATAGTCCCTGGTCAAATCATCCGGCAGTCATGTTAGTGAACAATCCGCCGATACTCATCAAGGTCAAGTACGACTGACTCGAGTCAGTTAATTTTAGACCTTGAAATGGCCCATGTGGTGGCCACACAGTTCGTTATACCTACTCCTACCAATATATTTCTGCAATAAAGTCATTTGTGTTGTGTGGTCATTAAGGTAGCCATAGCACGCGGATACGACGACTGGGTAATCCACTGCAGACCACTAACGTAGATGACCTACGCCTACTCGAGTTAGACGGGAATGGTGTGACCAACAGCCAAATTAGAAGTCACATCTCACGGTCAGCACCTACCGTGGATTGCCCCTTCGCCGTACCAAGCTACTACGGATGTTTTGAGGATCTTATAGCACAAAAGACATTATTACAGAAATGAAGTAGTAAAAGCATCTACAAGGAAGAACCTGTGACCCCCAGCGCATGGCCAGTCCATAACGTGCAGTTAATTAGTGAGCATTCTTTGCCCTTGACATTCACGAGAATTGACGAACTGTTCAAAAATCAGTGACCCAACTTCCAATTATCATTTAATATCGGATAATATATTTAGCCCACATAACATATTCTAGATAGGCCGATTTATCTATTTTTCCCAAGCTTGATTTTGACCTTGTTAATTATTCACATATCAACCCTGACTTTTTATATGAGCGCATGTGTATGTATATCATCACATGTCTGTAGCTTTTTTGTGTGACTACGAATATCGAATAATGCTTGATTAAAAGGAGTTGGCTCACACGCCTCGTGAAGTATTCGGATTATTACATGAACTAGGAATTCCCAAAACAACGCAATTTAGGTCTTGTAGAACTAGGTGAGCACAAACAAACGTATTGTGTTTATAATATAAAATCAGACATGTGCTAAGTACAAAATAATCAGTATTTCATACAAACACCTCAACTGTCACAACCTAAATTGGAATCTCAGTTCCTGTAATCAATTGGAAGTCTTCTCCTCTGGCTCATTGCATGTCTGTTAGACTGTGTATTGGGTACATACTCTATCTGATCTATAACATGCTCATTACTGAAAGATTTAACAACTAAAATTGGAACGGGCTCATCTGAACCCTTGTAATGCATTCGGTGGTTGTGACCATCTCGCATATGAACCATAGATTTGCTGACCTGTTTTACCACTTCGGTCCCGTAAGTGGCAAGTTACCAAGCATACCATTACAGCCATTTTCAGTGGTCAATAAACATTCTTTCTAGGCTCAGTAATGAGAAATTCACGATTTATAGTTTATCAATTCTGATTGACAGATTACAACATTCCAGAATAGAAAGTTTTCGACCAGTAGTACTTTGAATGGAAACTTTGGTGGGTATAATTATAGCATTAGGCTTTAACGACTTCAACTTCCCAATCGAAATGATGGACTTGATACTGATAGTGTCAACAATAAAATCATGAAATCACCACTGGATAGATATCGTTTCTGAATATGAAGTGAATTATTTGACGTTGTAAATAAAGATATATGATCACTGGAATGGCCTGAATTAATAGGATCTAAATTACAAGGTTTAGTACTACTTGAGGCAAAATGAACAGTAGTCTTGCAGACCAACTAGATGTGTCTAATCTTACAATATTACAGCATTACGAAACATGCCGCAGGACAAATATTTACCATACTTGAACTCACCTTTGTGATCTGCTATGTAACTCCTTATTGAGTTACCTTTAATATTTTCACGAGAATAAGAATCATTATTAAACAAACGCGAGCTTGGTCGACCATGAGAGTGCATTTCAGCATGACGACTAAATAGCGTTAGAAATTTTCACCGACTGGAAATCAAGTCCATCCACTGCTTCCCAGTTGATACAAGCAGTTCTGGCATCTTGAAAAGGACAGTTAGGTATTTTTAACGGCTCGCTTTCTAGATCTGGTGTGTTAGTTCCTGCAATCAACCGTTTTCGTAGCTGCACATAAAGTTGGTCACCGAAATTGCATTTGGTAGCTTGCTTTGTAACTCAAGGATAAATCCCCTGACCCTCTGGTGGTTCTGACAAATCATCTTATGGAGTTTCGCTCCTTCAAGACATTCGAAACCAGTACACAAAAGATACCACAAGTATTAGGAGTTTGACAACGCTTTAACCAGTAACACCTAATATGAATCGCACCCATCAAGTGAAATAAAAAGAAAGAAGCGAGGAGGTCCGAAAATATATTTGATAAGCTATAAATATACCGAGGATCGACTTATCTAATCTGGCTAGCGATTACAGGGGATTTTGAGCACGGCGTCCCCACTCGTGATCTGGTGCGGATGCATGACCGAGCGCAGTCAGTTAGGTGAGCCCATTAAAACTAATGTGGTCATCATCCAATAACGAGGACTTACAGAGATATCTATTTTGGAGATTTATTTACTGCTACAATACTTTACATGATTTAATAGCAGTTCCTTGACAGTTGCATAAGGAAGTGATATAGGCTTTCCTGGAATTGCCAAAGATTATAATAAACAGTAGGTATCCCTTCCAATGAATGTTAAGGAATGGGCGACAATGTTATCACCCTTCACATATTTCCTGGTCAAACTCCAAACTTGGAACCATTCCTTGTAATCGTCGAAATCTGAATGAATGTCCAACTGTTCCATCACAATCTCCATAGCAACGCCAATATGAAAACTAGATGTATTCGGATTATTATATGAACTAGTAATTCCTGAAATAATGCATTTTAAGTCATAAAGACCCAGGCGAGCACAAACGAACGTATTGTAGTCGCAATTCAAAATCAGGCACATACTAGGTACAAAGATCATTAGTTCGTAAAAACACCATAGTTTGTTAGGTAGCCATAATTCTGTTGTGATCGACCATTAATGCTGCACTGGAGAAGTGGGTTATTTTGAAGAACTTGTAGTTAGTTGGTAATTGTATCGTAACATTGTGGAGCACTATTCAGTTATATTTGGCTCCTTTGAACGGTATGACCACACTAAGCACAATGGTTGCCTTTCATGTTTTCATTTGCAGATAGTTAACTAGTTTTCTGAGAACTTCATCAATCTTCCATAAGCCACAAGCTAGCTTAGCAGTTGTCCGTAATATATTTAATCTCCTTATTTATAATGAAAACCATCCTTAAATTATTTCTGGAACGTAAACTAACCGTGAAATGTTTCAGGCTTTTAACTTGTTTCTTCAAGCCTTATCCCTGTATAGACCTGGCTACGTCACTGAAGCAGTTTTAGCAAAAGTAGGCGTAAAACATTTGATTTCATTGAATACTCTAGCTCAACTTTCATATATTGTTAACAGGTTTTTTAAAACTTAGATCAATATGAAGGGTGTTATGCTATTTCATGAATCATAAAGCGTTTGTTGAATCAAACATTCACTAGGTTTACAAATAGGCGGACGGTCATTTCAAGTAAATTCATACACTCAAATGAGAAATTTATAGTATTTAAATACGAAATGTCACAGCCAAATCATCCTGCAGTCACGTCACCAAATGTCAAACAATTCCCCGACCCTCGTCAACGACAAGCAACGCACATCTATCAGTGGCACACCATGAACAGGTCCAGATGTCAGTGGTCGCAATTCGTTCCTTCCACTTACTCTTAATAACATATTTCTGTAATATTGTTATGCTCCTCCTATACTGTCATCAAAGTAGTTACAATACCTAGATTCGACGAAAGAGTAATCCATGTTACGTACTAACACGGGGTTTGACTTCGATGTAAGTAGTGAGATACTATCCCCGCTCAACTCGAGTAGCCCCCCCCCAGATGTCTTCCATTAAATGACACATTTTCACATGCGTTAAAGGCATCTGGAAGGATAAATGTCGATAGAGTTGTCTTCGTTTATCTGTAATAAAATTCACCCGCCCGGCTTTCGTTACTCCAGAGTGGCTGAGCAAGTCTGGGTTGAATTTAGTCTTGGACCAACAGAAACCAGATGTGAGGAAATAACACATTAATAATGCACTGTGATTAAATTTTTTAATGGTCCACTGGGTGACAGCAATACCATACTAGTTTTGAAAAAATATATTGGGAACTGTTTGTTTGTTATTATCTCAAATTACATAACCATCTCTAGTTTATATTCCTTCACAACGATCAGTATCGATTATTAACTATTATTTTGTGTCCCGAAAGATTTTTCAAACATTCCAACTTAGTCAAAAACTGGTAAAGTATATAATCCAAAAGTGGATTTCGAAAAATGAAAGTTTGGTATCATTATGTTTTGAAGGCTGGATGGCATAGATACTGTTCTGTACTACTCACATCTAAGTCGGAACTAGTCGCAGAAGCTATGATATAATAACACAAAGTTACGGTTAAATAAGCAAACGTACTCAACAGACTTAAAGCCATTGATCAACGATATCTCCCACAATATTAAATTCGGTAATCAATACGAAATTAACCTTCAAACTCAACCAAAATTCCTCGAAAAACATGGTGAAGTGAGATGTGCGTTTCACTGGTACTAGTCTGACAAACGTTAAAAATCAGTTTTATTCAAAATACTGTGATGAAAACACGTTGGAAACCCTCGCAATGACAATACAAGCCAATAACTATAGGTATATCAAAACTAAGCACAGAAAACAAAGATGAGTGGAACATGATTAGTCTAATAGTTTCCGAACTCCAATTGTGCAGTAAGGTCAATAATAGTTTTAAAAACAAATTATCACTAACCATCGTTAACAAAAGGAAGGGCCAGTGATGATTCTGTTTTGCATGGTGAAAATACTAAAGTAGAATTATGAAATACACGTATTTGAGGTTATCTTCAAAGTTGACTTCAAAAAATATTGTTAACAGGAATGATCTTATAAAAAAGCGACATATAAGTGAATAACCGATGTGAAGTTTTTCTAACAATGGAAAACGTTTTGTAAGTTCCACACGCGCTGAAGTTTACAAATACCACAAATAAAAACCACGCAACTGAATAGCGCATATAAGAGGGATTGTAATCATTTAAAAGAAACACTGAGCATTCTTTAAATATTCAGTATTTAAGAAAAAAAATCAAAAAGTTATCAGCGCATATTAGAGCTAAATGTGATGAGATGAAGCCTATCTATGACTGGGACTTATTTTGTAAAGCTGTGTGTACTTCTTGAACTAAGCGCCGACGTTTTTCCTCTTCTGAGGCAGGTACGATAGAACGTAATGAATCAACAATATTCTTAGTTGTACCGAAATATACTTCGTTGAGCGTTGAGCGGATTGAGTTTTCAACATCCTAGAAATAGAATGGAAGGACGAAATGAATGTTTTGTGGTAGTAAAAGGTTGAAAAAATACACCTCCAACACAATTAATAAAGCTTTTTATCGTGGAAAAAAGACTTTTTCTTCGGGGATTGACTACAATCGGAGTTAAATTACATGCTTTTTCGATCAGGAACGTGTTAAAAATACGAAATCATTCAAAGTTGTTTATATATTCATATTAACTAGACGCTTGAAAATTTGGCATCGGATTTTGTAACAGGGTTAACTACCACATGTGAAATAATTTCAAAGAATCTCCTCGAAAACCGAGTGTATCCAGTAACTGGGGACCAGATACGAAATAGAGCAACGAGGAATCAAACAAGCTCAGTTTGATAACATTCATATGTTGATAAGCAAAGATGATGGTGACTAGCAGTGGAAGCCAAGATGTGCGTCTCCTCCTATTTTGAGTCGGCATCTAAGTGGGTAACACGATGACGTTTGAACCGAACGGTACTGGGTTCGAGTCCCGGAGTGGACATCAACCCCCCGGATGGAGACATATCAAGCTGATGAGTCACAAATGGGACGAAACGTGTGTGGATTCCACTGATCAATTGCAGTCCTAAACATCAAAAAGATTTAGATAGTCACTATAAAAATGGATTCGTACGTCGATTTTGGAAAATTTAGCATTATTTGAGACTCAGCGGTGTCAAACAACTGATGTTTTCAAATTAGTTATAATGTCTTACATTACTTTCGGTGGAGTAACATCTTAAGAATTAATGGATATGTGTAAGTTGTGAGCACTATTACGGAAGCATATGTGAACTAATGAGCGATCAATGCCGATGTTTGATATAAAACACTAGGTTTCAACGATCATAAAACAACTTTTAGTATTCGAAGTCTTTTCATTATTTCTACATTTTTAACTAAGAGGCTTTTTATTCACAATTGGCAGAATTACGGACGAATGATTAGCTTCACATCGATAATGTCGGGTGTTATGTTAGTTATGTCTATAGGTGAAGTCACTTATAGGATTTTACTCGAACTGTTCTCTACTCCTACTTAGTCTGACCTTCCTAACGCTTTCCCTTATTCAATTATGTTCTTCTCATAAGCATGACTGTTATTCACAATTATTCATTTTGTTGCACCTCCCATAACTGTTCACCGAGTTTTACCACTCTTGATGTTGATCAACTTTATTCATCCCATATTCTTAAACTAATTACGTTAATTTACGTTTCAGAAACACAATATAAGAAAGACAAAGTTTTAGTTTTTATGCTAGGACACAGACCCGACAGTATTATAGAGAGTGCTTATAATAGAAACCAATGGAGAAAACAAATTCTACACTTTATATAATAGACAAGAATCGTTTATAACTCTATATAGAGTCGTAAGAAAGGAATTCCATGATTATTTTCTTTATTCAAAATAAGTACGTCAAATATGGTCTTGCAAAACGGTACCAACTCAATTCTAATTTTTTAGAAGATATAATTTCCTATAGATCACCATCACAACTGAATATAAGTAGAGACAAATTAGTATCACTGACTTATCTAAGAAAGATTTAATGTGTGGATATTATGGTTGAATATTAGTGCGAGGTTAATTTGACAGAGTTGTTCTGTTCTTTATCTTAATAAAAAATCCGCTTACAACAGCTTTTGACTGAACCTTAAACTATTTCTCCGAATGTTATATTAAAGACGGCTGTTTGATTTAGTGTGTGACTATGTCTAGAATAGATGACTAAGATAATGTACTGAATAGAATATAGAGCAATCGTAAGTATTGATACTCTTTCCAAAATATGAAACCACAGAAGTTGATGCGCCCAGACAACGTAAGTTGTGATTCGCTAAAGAAAGAAGATAGACATGACCTTGCGTGCTATGTATTATAATGGATTAATTTCATAATCTAAATGATTTTCTTCCACTCTGCATACGTGTCAATATACTTTTGTCTTCGATATCTGATTTTCAATTAACGCTAGGTTAAAAGTAACTATGGTTACGTGACTTTATCCCTCTTCTAAATAGTAATTAAACTCCATCAGGTTACATATTATTGCTTTTCACACTACAACTTAAACAATATGACAAGTGTCTATCATATTTTTGGATAGTGATTAGCAGAGAACTTACTAACTGAAGGTGTCTACATTCCAGTGCTGAAGCACACATTAAAATTCGAACACACCTGATGATTAATAAATAGGGTTACTAAATTTGACTCCTAACCACCGTTTACAAACATAATAGACTATTAAATGAAGGTAATATCGCGGCAATTACTCAAGAACCTAATAGCTCAATACAGATTGATCAAATTCAGTTTTGGACATTAATAACAAGAAAGTACAAACCCTCATAAGTGCTAACACGACAAAGTCATATGGACAAGTTCACTAATCCTGAATACTATAGACCTATCAGTAATTGAACTAAAAATTGTGGTGAAAATTATGCTCTTCAAACAGTAAACATGAACAAAAAAATAATCAATATTAACGAGTTAAATGGAATTTAATTTTAACAAGTCGAAATACAAAATGGTATTCAACTAATGATAATTTCAGTTTTATAATTAAAAGGAATTATATATGAAACAAAAAATAACGTAAATAAAAGTATAGTACACCCAAACTGAGTAAGGTAAAACCTTAGCTATTAAACTGTAAATACCCCTTATTTAAGAATACTATCTTCACTGATGTTACAAACGTAAAAAACTAAGAGCGCGTCATAAAAACAGAATAAGTGATGAATAAAAGAAATACACAAAACAATTCGAAACCAAACACCATTTCGCCTTTCAATACAGCCTACAGATGTAGACTACGTGAAGGATAACAGGGAAAAAGTTAATAATAAATTCACCGAACCACTGTTGTATGAATTTACAAAAGCCAACTATTATTATTCTTAGTACGTGTACTTTCAGTGAATATCATTGAGATTAATTTTGTCTCAAGAAATCATCTCTAATCGTAGTTACGTGCTAATGACATCAGTCTACTTTTGTTCCTTTATTATGTCTTGTTATTGTTATCCGTTTTGTCATCATAGGTTTATATGGATAGAACATACGGAATCAATCGCGGTGTCGTTTCTAGTGTAGTGCATCAGAAAGAACTATCCCACCTCTGTGGAAAAAACTAAGACGGAATTAGGAAAACACAATCTATCATCTACATTTTTGTAACCTACATGGTTAATGTTTTCCTTATTGGTTCAGTCTTCCCATGTTTAGCTGAAGCCTAAGAAGCTATCAGTTATCTAAATATGATACAGTACCCTGTCGAAAACTCATTATTAATACTACTGCTGCATTGTTATACCTGCTTTTGTTTGGGAAACCGTGTTATACATAATAGTTTTATTTGACACATATCTGATATAAACGGGAGCACTGAGTCTTAACTGATGTGAATAAACGAACTAAAAGTTTTGATGTTCAAACTGTTGCACTTACCTAATTTAGATGTACTACTTTCGTACTATTTTGTATTATCTTTCACATTAATATTCATGTCACATACTTAGTATTTCTATATAAGCTAGCAGTTTATATACTAAAGACAATTTTATGTCTGTTAAATCTATTTTTTGTCTTGATTTGCACACAAACGCTAAATGTTATACTATAAGACAGATTCACCCATACTTCTACACCCATCATTATTACACTCACTGTTTAATATCCATTAATTTAAAATTATTCTAAAAGAAGTTATTTGAAATTCATGCATAACCACACGGTGTAAAATCAAATGTCTTGTTTTACTATTATAACCTAGCAATTTCTGTCAATTAATTCAGTAAAACTATTGACTAACCGGTGTAATATATCAATTACACATAAATGAATATATCTTACGTCAATTTTTGCAATTGATTGCATAGACATAAGAATAATATTGAATATAAACATTTTCTTACTTAGTATGTCAAGTTTTTCTTCGACTGCTTCTGAATACTGATCATGAAGATAAATCTTCATGACCGAACGAAGCAACAAACCTATGAACATGACGCTCATTATTTACGACATGATGTTAAATGATGATAATAGCGATTGGTCTGTGGTAAATTTCGTCTGCGAATGGATAGGAACTCGAATATACCAAACTTTTGACACACATCAACACCTTAACGTTAACAATCCACACGCTAATATGAGATATAGATGGGACTTTCAGGATAGCTTTATATTCCGAAGCGAAGTCAGAAGTTGAAAACGAACAACTTTGTTTTTGTGGTAACATGTAATGGCCTTAAAACATATAACAGTTAGCAAACTAGAAGCGATAACAACCAATCAGATGACATCAAAGGTCAATGAAGAAATATCAATCAAAAGAACCTCATTGAGGTTATCCTTTAAAGAAAGAATTAACATATAATAACAAAATACTAGATAGCCTCATCTATTTTTAGCACAAAAAATTATTTAGTGCATTGTAGAGCACCCGTAAATGTGCTGCAAAAGAATAACATATTTTATTTTATGGTAAGAAGTAGTTTGTGTAGCAAAAACAAAGTTGTACTTAACTTATTCAAGTTGACAATTAATTGCTACTGTAAACGAATTATCATACTTTAACAAAAAATAGTTGATAGCATGGGGGTTGTCGATACAGAAAAAAAATTTTTATCCTGAAAGAATTTATCCAATTACTTTTTTCAGGTTAACCGAAAAGAAACACTCCTTGGAAATTTTCACGTTCAAGAAAGTTCATCTCACTAACAAATGATAATTTGATAAGACGAGACAAAGATATTTTGCAGATTAACTGATGAATAATAATTTTTTTTAAAAACTTTTGTTAGTAACTTACACATACATAATGTGTTATTTTACATGTAGAAAAAGCTTTGTCATTTGATCATGGGGAATCGCGAATGTGCCAAGTTGTAATCATATGTGTAGGAAATACTTATAACGATAATGAGACCTAAACTTCGGTCACGTTAATAATGGTACTTGACAGGTATGTATTCGCTCTTCGATTCAATTCAACTACGTCCAAAATTGTGGTCTTAAACTTATCTTTAAATCATACCCGTCACCCCATAGAACTATATCAAGTTCATGAAATTGTGAACTTAGATGTGCCCATAGGATATACTTCGAGCTAAATGAATTTAACTTGAAATAGGTAGACTTAGGGTATCACAGGTACGACTGTACGAATGTATTAATTAGAGAATAATTAAAAGTAATCCTTATCAATGTATAGATTCATTAGATAATAAATATCACTTACTTCTACCATACGTCCAATATTAACAATATGTGACGTAGTTATTGGAACACCTGAGTCCCCCAAGGGAAGTTCACGTTCACTGAATCTTGAAAGACTACCACCTAGATTGAAATAACCTGCAGATTCTCGTTGAGTTTGAAGCCATAACATAACGGTACTTGTAAGCTTATATAAGGATATTTTAGCGGAAGGCCTTTCCTAAAATAAACATAACCAGGGTTTAAGACAAGAATATATCACTTAAAAATGAATGAAAGCATAATCAAAAAACATAGTAAAGAACCAAAGTTGCACAAAATTCTGAGATTATAATTACTTTTTTACTGCTTGATGAATTAGGAGTAAAAATATTTCCTGCTCGATAGTAATACTGTAGTGCGTGCTACTTATATCGATATAAGTAGTATATGACGCGAGTCAGGAATGTAACGTCTGGCAGCAGAAGATGGGGAAGATCAAGAAAGGAAGAACGGGAATAGAAAGCAATTAGTATGGAAATGCGAGAACAATGAAGTCCGAGACAATTATTGGACATTTTGCAAATTAAGTATTATAGTATGTTTTTTTCTATTTTACCAAGTAACTGTAATTTCGCGCTAAATATAATTCGGTTGTCCTCACCTGTGTTCTCCTTCACTACATTTGGTGTCGCTGCCTCCACTAAGGATGAAGGTTTCGTGGCCGAAGGAATTTGAGGACAAAGGTGTGCTGAGATTCCTGAAGGAGTTTGGGGCCGTGAGGGAGCTGGTGGGAGTGAAGGAGCCGAAGGCGAAGGTGGTGGTGCTGGGGACGCTGCTGAGAGGCAGGGCGAAGGCTGTATATGACAGCTTGGACGGTGTTGGCAAGAAGACAACGTGGGAGACGGTCACGGGGCAGTTGGTGGCAGAGTTCGACAGCCCAGTGGGCAGGGGGAGGGCACTGCAGAAGTCCCGGTTGGCGAGGTTGCTGGTCGACGGTGACCCACTGGTGCCGGCCGTAAAGCTTACCAGGTTGTTAGGCGGTGCGCTGCGGAATCTGAATGAGGAGTCGGAGGCACAGTTGTTGGTGTCGCAGTTTATCGAGAGTGTGCCTGCCACCGTTTCCTAGCAGCTAAAACTAGTAAACGCAGCGCAACCTATGGATATCAGTGAACTAGCGAAGGTGCCTCGACAGCTGATGACACGAACAGTAGCTCCGGTAAGGTGAGGAAAAAAGGAGATAAATAGTGTCAAGAAGAAGATTGAGGAGCTGGAGCGTGAGATTACGGCAATACGAGTGAATCATAAAAGGAATGATAAATGTTACGCTTGTGGAGGGATAGGACATTGGAAGATAAACTGTCCAACAAGACGAAGATGCGAATATTTTAGGCGTTATAACGTGTCTTCTTTCTACCCTAGGAATCTGGGGGTTGTTGCATTAGTAGATAAAGGGGCAGTTTATATGAGAGTGAACATAAATGAACGAAATTTAGTATCTGATCGATACAAGGGCAGCGGTATCGTTAATAGGCAAAGAGCAATGTACGAGACTCAAGCCATGTACCTTAGCTGTTCACACTATTGGAGGGCACATTTTAGAGGTGTTGGGGGTATCTAACAGTATCGTAAAAGTGGGTGATGCTGAGATAAATTTTCCGTTCGTGGTAACCACAAGCTTATCGAGACCGATATTGGGAGCAGATTTCCTAAGAGAAGTAAAAGCGATAGTTGACTTAAGAAGCGGTAAGGTGGTCACAAAGTAGGGTTCATTGTCAATACACAAAATTAGCGAAGTGGCTGAAATAAGAGTGGCAACGGATGTCTCGACGAAGAAACCAAACATTAACGAGTTATGCACAAAGTATGCGAAACTGTTCACTGGGGATGGGAAGCCGTATGGATTTTGTGACAAAGTAAAGCATGAAATCCCGATAAAGAACGACCGAGTAAATGTATTTGCAGCACGTCGTGTCCCGGTGCATTTAGAGGCTGAGGTAAATCGACAGGTCCAGATGTTGAAAGAAGGTATAATTGAGGAAGCGGATAGCCCGTATAGCTCGCCAGTACTCTTGGTAAAGAAACCGAATTAAAAGTAAAGATTTTGTGTCGACTTTAGAGAACTGAATAATATAACAGACCTGAAACCTTGTGCAATGCCAACAGTGGTGGAAAAGTTAGATCGGCTACAGAATGCCACGGTGTTTACAGTGCTGGATTTACGGCCAGGTTATTGGCAACTACCTATAAAAGATAGCGATCGAAGCAAGGCAGCATTTACTGTAAGTGATAAACAGTATCAATTTAAACGAATGCCGTTTGGGTTGGCGGGTGCACCGTTTACGTTCAGAAGATTAATGACGCTACTGCTCAAGAATCTAGATAATATCGAGGTATATGACAACGATGTAGTTGTGTACAGCCTGACAGAAACAGATCACGTCAAGCATGTGGAAGCGGTCTTTAAGCGAATTGACGTAGTTCAACTTCGAATTAATAAGGACAAGATAGAGAAAAATAGCGTCACGTTGTTGAGACATGAAGTGGGAAATAGAGAAATAAAACCATTGCCGGAGAAAAGTCTTATCATAAAAAATATTGCAGTACCTAATTTGAAAAGGAAGTTGAGACAGTTCCTGGGAAGAGCAGCGTTCTATAGTCGGTTTGTCAAGAATTTCAACAAAATAGCAGCACCCCTATATAAGTTGTTGAGCAACACCAAGTTTACGTGGACTGAAACTGCTGAACAAACGTTCAACCGAATCAAAAACATGCTAGACGATCGTCAGATGACGCTGCGACTGCCTGAACCCGGGACACCGTTTACAGTGGTCACAGATGCAAGTGATCATGGTATAGGTGCTGTATTGAGTCAGTCTGATAGAGTGGTGGAATACGCGAGTCACGTTTTCACACGCGCTGAACAGAAGTATTCAACGATCGAAAAGGAGTGCCTAGCAATCGTGTGGGCAGTAGAAAAATGGAGACCGTACCTTTTAGGTAGACGATTTTACATTGAGACTGACCACAAACCCCTGCAGTGGTTGGAAACAGTAAGAGACCCCCGAGGGAGGTTGGTGCGATGGATGATACGTCTGCAAGAGTACGACTTCAGTATCAGCCATGTTCCAGGAAAGCAAAACGTAATGGCGGATTACTTGTCAAGACCAGACATGGAAGCCGACCTTCCACTGACAGCATACGCGGTGAATAGTTTAGAGGGAGACCCATTAGAACTCGTCAGGCAGCAAAAAGCTGACCCTAACCTTCGAGTGGTAATCAAAGTGATAAAAGAGGGAGCAGACGTAGACAAACGAACAATGGACAAGGGGGTAATGATGCTGCTTTGGCAAAAGGAACGACTGAAAGTGAACGCATATGGAGTCCTAACCTGGCAGGACGATGACAAGAATTGGGTGGCTGTGATCCAGAAAGACTGGCGGCGTAAGATGATACACGAGTGTCACCAGGTAGCACATACGGGCATCACAAAAACGACGGATTTACTACGATAAAGTGCATACTGGCCAGGCATGAGAGACGATGTGGCTCGATACGTGTTAACTTGCTAATAGTGTCAACTAATGGAAAGCGATCGATACATACAACCGCCATTACAGTCAGTCCCAGTAACCGCAGTCGGTGATCTATGGTTGGTGGATGTGACGGGACCGTTTCCACAGACAGAGAGCGGTAACCAGTACCTGCTAGTGATGACAGAACATGCTACACGTTGGGTAGATGCTGTACCCATTGCAGATCAGCGGGCAAAAACAGTGACCGAAGTGGTAATCCGGCATATTGTAGCGTGTCACGGAATACCGAAGATGATATTAACTGACCAGGGTCCCTGTTTTGAAAGTGACGAGTTTAAAGCCCGTCTAAAGCAGTTTGGCATCAAGAGGATACGAACTACACCGTATCATCCTCAGACAAACGGGCTTACAGAGAGAAACAACCGGACGTTAAAGGAATGGTTAGCATCTAAAGGAGGAGATTGGGAGAAAGAGTTACCATTGATTTTGCTGGCGCATCGTTCCTTTATAGATGGAACAACCAAGAAATCGCCTTTCTCGCTCATGTATGGCAGACAACCACGACTTCCAATGCACAATAAGACCTGACCACAACAACAGAAATGGACGACGACAAGGTTAAGAAAAGAGAGGAGGGAGGCAATAAGGAACGTAGACAGAAAACAAATATCAGACATAAAGAAGGCGGAACGACAGAGGAGAACGTGGAAACCTTTTGCAGTGGGGGACCTAGTAAAGTGTAGAGAACGGAAAAGTAACATAGCAGGGGGACCAGGGTCGGGAAAGCTGATCCCAAAGTGGGAAGTACCGTACGTTAACACAGAAAGACGTGGCTCGGTTTACACGATTCGGAGTGAAGACAAGCAGAAGCGCGTAGATGCCCGTCAACTGCGGCGATGGTTTTAAGATCACCATGAGTGTGAGTCACGAATAGCACCAAAGAAGAGAGTGGCACGGCGACCAGAAGTCATTGAGTAACAACGTGGAACTTCGTAAGTACGTACATCAGTTCGAGTTGCCATACCACATTAGCACAGAGATTCAGTTATCGATTCAAAACCCGTAGTGGTAGAGGTAGTGAAAGTATAAGTAGCGATAGGGAACATTAAGGTTTGATGATGTTATTTAAGCAGTATGACCCAGTGGAATAGATTTAGAAAGGAAATAAAAGACATGAAGAATTCAGAAGATTGGAATTTGGGATAAGACAAAGAGTGGATGCACCTGCGCCATTGCAAACGATTTTGAGCCATATCATTCAAGATCTCTAACCATCGGTTGCTATCGTCTCGCGGACCCCAACCAGGTAGTCTATACCCACCAACATGGCTCGGTTCACTTGTCAGTGACTTAATGGATTTGTGCTATGTTTTGGTCTGGCCGGCCCTAGCTTTCTTCCTACCCACTCCTATAACATTGAACAAACACGTCGGGGCAGTTGGTGTTTTGGCATACGCAACACATGTCTCAGCCATCTCAACTGATTAAGTTTCACTACTTCATCAATTGATTTGCCATCCTTATCTAGTACCCGTTTTTCAACAACTGCATTACTTACTCGGTGGTCCCACGATATACGAGCAATGTTTCGAAGACACCTATGATCGAATACTAGTAACTTACGAATATTCTCTACTCTTATCGGTCATGTTTCACAGCCATAAAGTAGGACGGAACGAACTGCTGAGCAGTAAACACGTCCTTTGGTTGATAGACGGATATCTCGCCTATGCCACAAATGACGCAAGTTGGCAAATGCTAGTCGAGCCTTCTGTATCCGTGCTGAGATTTCGTCACACACCAGACTACAAGAGCTGATGAGGCTTCCAAGATAAGTGAAGTGGTCGACACGCCCAACTACTTCACTCCCTATCATTAGTTCGGGTGTCGGTGCAACCCAATCCTGAAGCAACATTTTGCATTTCGAGGGAGAGAATCGCATGCCGAACATGCCTTCATTGTTGCTTAGAGTGGTCAGCAGACTCTGAATTTTGTCAGCGTCTTCACCAAATAGAACTATGTCAGACAGTCTCACATCCGATCATAAATAAGACCAAAAAATTTAATAACCATGATTTAGCAAACAAATCAGCAAATAATGACTGATTATGATATTTACTACGCACTAAACAGATGTTATATAAACCATGTATAAATATATATAATCCATATATCCCTGTATATGTACATAGGGAACGAAACACAAGAATTTATTATTGAATTAATTTCTTCTTCTCGAGAAATAGTCATTTTGCGAAACGGGCACTAAAAGATACGTTTGTTGAGTATATGGAGTAGCGAATATGATATTTGTAGCGGGGATTAAGTGGGTGGAGAATTCGGATTTCACCCAAAAGATTGTAGGTTTAAATTCCGCTGCACCTATTTTGGTTTCAGTTATGTGAATAAACCTTACACTAACAGTGTGGCTTAAAGCTGAGTACATAAACCTGTGCTTGGTTACATTATTAGATTAGATATAATGAGACACTTATGTATCAAATATTTTTAAATTTTTCTGCTTTGTTGAAGTAAGTTATGATGAGTCAAAATTATTTTTACTAGGTACATAAAATGTAAAATGTATACTGAATACTGGTTTATATGGTAGTCTTGTATTTTTGAGTGGTACTATTTGTTTTCTTAAACCAAAGTAGGTGACCTATTTTGTTTGAAGGCCATATGACTTAATCACTAATCCACTGGTCCATAATTATGTGGATGTACAACGTAAGAACTAAAGATTAGACTAAATTAGAAATAAAAGAAAGCTTCAATACAAAAATAGTTACACATCACTAACTTACAACAACATCAATAACATGTATTGAATCCCAACAACCGCTAGCCAACTTAGCATTACCAGCTTTTTTTATCAGAATAACACCAGCGAATCCATGGTCCATATCCCATAAGTAAACTGAAGATATCCCTCCCTCATAATACCTAATTTTATAAAATATAAAACATGGTTAAACAACCGCTACTAACGAGTAGAAAGGGAATTTCAATAAACTATTAACTAAAATGTATGAAAATGGAAACTTAACAGAATAAACATTGTCATGAAAGTATGTAACAAAAGAAGTTTTTACTTCCACATCAACTCAAGTTGAAAATTTTCAAAGATTTGAAAATTCTTTGCAGTCGAAAACTTTTCTTCCCAAACTACTCAACAGAAAGCTCTGACAACTAATAATACATTGGTGAAAAAACCTAACATTATCTATAACTAATATTCTGAAATCATAATTCGCGTTCTGTTGTTAAGTGTTCGACTTTGATACTGAACGAATTTCACCGGGCGCTCGAGTAAAAAACCTGATTGAGAAGGAAGTTTATTAACTGAACCATATATATATATATATATATATATATATATATATATATATATATATATATGCAAGTCATTTCTTGGCCAATCACGGCCACTTATCATCCGATTGACTTCTGAATGGGCCAATCCATCGGTTTGTTACTATGATCTGTAAACTGGTCAAAATGTTTGGTAGTGATCATAAGACAACCACCGTACTAAAGACGAGTTAATAAAGCTATATTTATACACACAGAGTATGATAAAAAAAGTTACTCGACAGAGAAAAGCTTATGGAAAACGTTCCTAAATGGCATCACTATAATATAATTATTAAGTCTGAATACAGGACATGGACAGAAATTACTTCACGAAAACTTTTATTCATATAAACGTTTCATATAAGCAGTAACAAAATATCGACTATATTTGTCATTTATATAGTTTTTGGTAGTTTTTCTATAAAAGCCTAAAGATTATTTGCAGCCAGCTATAAAACAAAGAAGCAGATCAAGATTATGATTTGGAGAGATTACGTAGGAACACAAAAGTATTAATAAATATCTAAGCAACAAAACATCAGTAGTAGAACAGGAAATGTTAGGTAATGTAGGGAAATTTTAACATATCGCCATCTAGGCAATACGATGCTGACCTTATTTGATTCTTGAATTCTAGGTTGAAAGCATGTGACTTCCAGTGCTTTTCTAAACTCTAGTCAATTTGGTTTCTTAAAATCAAGTTATTATTGCCAATAAAATGGTTATTTGTTTGACATCCTACATCTACCAAATATTTGACGATTAAACCACCAAAAACCTTAGCTTTTTTCAACACGAGCAGATATTTTGGAGCCTGATGCAGAAAACAATTCATCGTCGCTCTCCTCCTACCTTAGTAGTAACTTATTTACCAAATACGGGCTGAAATAGTCCACACTGAGGCAAGTATTTCTTATTGTGACGGCTAACAGTCAATCCGTCATGTATAACGTAGGACCAGGCATATATGTACATCAGTCCAAGTTGCCATACCCCATTTGCACAAGACCAATACCAAATTCATAGAAGCAGTTACTTTAATAGCAGTAAAAAACATTTCATAAAAAGATATGATACAGGAAGAAGGAAATGATTCGTAGAAAGAAAGATATATAGCAATTTTAATCTTACGGTTTAAGGGAAGACAAAGAGTATATACACCTACACCATTTTGATCGATTCTGAGCCATGTCGCACAGTCTCCAATCACTGGTTACGATACTGGCGCGGACCCCAACCAAGTAGTCTAAATCTACCAACATGGCTTAGACCAGAAGTCAGTGACTTCAAGCACTAATGCCATGTTTTCGTTTGGCCGCCCCTAACTTTCTTCCAACCATCCCCAACACCGGTTAGCATTGCACGTCGTGGTAATCGGTGTTCAGGCATACGCAACACGTGGCCCAACCAACTCAGTCGACGAAGATTCATAACCTCATCAACTGATCTACCATCGTTCTCTAATACCCTGCGTCGAACATCACTATTACTTACCCAGTGATCCCAGTAGATGCGAGCAATATTTCTAAGATATCAGTCATCAAATACTTACGAGTAACCTCTACTCTTAATGGCCACGTTTTACAGACGTAAAGCAGAACAGAGCAAACTGTTGCACAGTGTACTCGACCCTTAATTGATAGGCAGATACCTCGCTTTCACCATAATTGAAGTAAGTTGACAAAAGCCAAACGAGCTTTCTAAATCCGTGTGGAGATTTAGTCAGACACCAACCCATTAGGGCTGACCAGACTTCTAAGATAAATGAAGTTGCCAACGCTGAGTATCAAAAAATATCAATGATATAATATGATGGAGATATGCCAATAATGTAAATACTTTTGATCAAGCCAAGCTGGATGGTATGTATTGTGGACCTTTCGTTGCCATTTACGCAAAATCATCAGCACTCACCTCTTTTCACGTAAAGTAACCCCTGATGACATCCAGAAAGAAAAAGTAGAGGACTATTCATGATTCTCGAGAAATTTGCCGTGACAAATAATGTGGTTTTTATTTTCATGATAAATATTTTTTGCAGTATTCAATAAATTCCTGTTTATTCTGGCACAACTCGGTAGCTGAGTATTCATCTTAGAGCTACAGATTTCACGTAACGATTAGCAATGCTATCTATATACTTAAACCAAAACAAACAGCAGAGTTCGAACAGCATTTCAGCAATTCTCCTTAAGCGTCTAGCATAAGCGGCAGTACTGGGTTTGTAAATTATTGGATATGTTTACTTCACTAATAATGAGACTACTCACATTTCTCTGTATTGATCAAAAGCTGTATTAATTTCTATTTCTCGTTTACGAAGACTTTCGCTTGGCATAGCTCCATCTTCTAGTGGTGGGTCATAGGTATTTGACCAAGGTGATCGATAAGAATCACCATCTCTGTTATAATCGCATAATAAATAATCACGATCAGCATGGACATCTCTCGCGATCTTTAAAGGTTGATCCACTGAGCTTAAAATATCTTCACAATGTTCTGGTTTAAGTGAGATTACATCCACCAAAGTATGATTAATCTTTTGAGGCGGTAGACGCCGCATTAAATCCATGACAGAAGTAAGAGGATTGGCCTGGAATAAAATTATTGAAACGGATAAAAACTGTTTGGAGAGATGAGAATAATCAAATAAACAACAAGAACCAAGAAATGTTATAACATTGAATATGGATAAATTGCAGGATACATGTTTGTGTCAAATCAACAAACAGAAACTGATAAATACATGTTGTTAGAAGGTAGTGACAAAAACAAAATGCTCACTGTCAATCGGTTAGGAAATACTTGTGGAGCAGCGAAAGCACACTGGGCTATACCTTAAGGCTAAGAATGTTTCTAATCCAATAATCGAAGCTTGCTTGCGTTTTGTCAAACAGCATCACCTTGGGTATAGGAGAGATGTTTACTTGTTAACCAATAAGTGAATATACTGTGCGGAAGTTTGCTTTATTTCGATTCATAGCAATGAAACATAGAAACTAGAAGTAGATAACCGTAAATCATCAGTATTTGACTAAAAATGTCTTTGGGGCATCAGTTACATGTATTTGGACTGCTGAGTAAGCAATGTTGAGGTTAGACGGACTTAGCACTATTGTGTAGTTTCACGTTGCTACACTTTATATTACATTTAAAGAAAACCAACAAGATTAGTACCAAAAAGACTGAAGTAACAACACTCATGACGGTGATAACATAACATAGAGTATAGCTCAAAGGAAACAAAAGAAATGTATTAATTATATCCATAGTCTAAACGGTCCTTCTATGGTTAACGAAGATTGATGTTTTTAACTAGGATGACCAACCATTGAGACCGGTACACGGACTGACTTTACCTCGTACTCTAGTGAGTATCCAGATTAGTCTAGTTAACGATGCCTAATTGTTGAAAACACCCGAAATCACAATGGACGGTCAAAATGAATAGACTCGTTCTCACTTTGTAACAGTCCCATCAATTCTACGGAGGGCTGTAAAGTTTGTCCCCATCTGTTTGGGTTACAGAACTGTACTTTCTATAGACAAGTAAAATATTGAAAAGTTAAATGAGGTTTAATGTAAACTAAGAAAGTGAGGAGAGACTATAATTTATGGACGACCTTAGAGCGACGCTGAAGTGACCTTGGGAATGGATACCTACTGATCAGGACTAAATGAAGGTTATAAACCAGTTAGAATTACGACTTACGGTTGATGGTTAAGGTTAAAAAATAAATTTAGGGTTTTTATCACGAACTGACATTGGCTATGATGTCAAAACTCTATTTAGCCAAATGTATGAACGAATTTCGCGCCATAACTTATTACTCGTTATCTTATATCTGATCGGTTCGTCTATAAATTATGGATAGAAGATACCCTTGACGAATACCACATGATAATACCAGCTTAATTGACACTGCCATAAATTCTGACTAAGCTGCTTGATTGAAGAACCTTCGGGTCTACTTTCAAGGACAGACGTTGTCACAGACGCAGACTCATGGACAAGAAGTATGACTAAAGTTGAACGTAATCAACGATAACATTTAACACTTATTGAATGATACTGACAAAGAAAAGCAGTTGAATATACCTATTCCAGTTCAAGCATAATTACTTTGCTGACCAGTAGAAAAGTAGTACGGCTAAATATGGTCGCTTACTGTCAAATTCAAACACAACTATTATCAACCTGTTGCTCGGCGTCATTTCTCATATCCTAACATCAACTTATAGGTATATGACTACTTGACACTACTTATTTCTTCTCAATATTGGTTTAAATAGGCCATTAAGTGTTGATCAACCTTTTTACTGCCAAATATCAATCAATATGCATAAGAATCAAACTCATGAGTACTAGACAGAGTCGTGTTTGTGTCCCAGATAAATCGGCGAAACTATAAACTGTGTGGATAAAAAATAGAGACTGCCATAGGTGGGTAGCAACTTTTAGCCACTGAGAATTACTGTTAACCCAATGCATAACATGAGTCTCGACTCCACTAAACCCGTTTTCGTTCCCTCAACACCAATAGAGTGGGATTGATTTCTTAAAAAGCCAATTTGCAACATCTTGACCCTGACGATATTTTAAATTGAAGAGAACTACTGTGAGATTGTCTATCAACTAGAACCGTGTGGGTTTAACAGCAAGACATGACAATTGCAAAACAGCTTACCATATCCATCGCTGTGGCGCAAACTTCGAAATAATAGTCGTCACTTACGATTTCCAATGCATGAGTGGATCAAGTGGTCTTCATTGAGAAATTGAGATTTTCGTTCACTATAGTGGCAGATCTTTGATTCACCCAGGTAATTACTTAATAGGTTTAAAACGGACAGTGGAGTTTTTCCTCGCTGAGTAAATTTTATTGTTTTAGTCGTTCATTACATATCAAGACAAATTTTCACACTTTAATTGAATTTATTTCAGTTAAAGTATTCACAAAAAGTATCACCTTATTTCCAAAGAGGTTTATCGCAATTACTTTTTAGTGCTTTGCTTTCTATAGTATTTGTTAGCACTTCTTGTTTTGCCAATTTACAGTTTTCCACATTTGAGTCATCAATTTTTTTGTTTCTGGATATTATTGTAGATCACCAGCGTGGATGATCTACGTCGAAATGATTGAAGGCTTACTCGAATTAGACGTGAGTGGTGTGACAAACTAGCTAACGTCGAAGTCACACTTCGCGGTCTGCACCTTACATAGATTACCCCATTGACGTATCAAGGTACTATAGATGCTTTGAAGACTGTACAACACAGAGGACGTTATTACAGAAATATATTAGTTAAAGTGGACACAAGCGAAGGTAAGACCACTGACGCATGGGCCAGTCCATGGCGTACGATTAACTGATGCGCGTTGGTTTTCCTTGACATTGACGAGGATTGATGATTTTGTTTGATATTCAATGGCTAGGGCTCAGTGGAATTTCACTGGCCCTACAATACTCCCCCCCCACCAGATTCAACGGCCGTTTTAATCGGTACCAAACATGTCGGTTGTCGCGCGCCGGAGATTGCCAAACGATTAATATGAATCCTCTGGGTATTGCCGACCTGTAAAACAAATGGAAACGAGGCGGCAGAAACTGATCGAGAAACAGCAAGTAATAATATGTTAGTAGAACGTTGGTTGAACGTAAAGCCATTAACCATAGAAATAATAAAAGGAACTTAACGTCGCGCTGAAGTATATAGCTTTGACAGGTAATTGAGTTTCTCAGATGAGAAACATTAACTTTGCCGCAAGAGCAATGATGCTATAGCGATAGTAGGATAAGTGTATTACCAATCGATACGGATGTTTATACTGCCATTGATTTAAAGATGAATGTCAGACAGTGTCGTTGACAACTTCTAGCTATATCTATATTTAACAGACTAACTGTAAGTACAGAAGTATAGTCGTGAAGAGTAATCGTGATTTCGTCACGCGAGGCTATTAATCCACTTGTAGTCAGTTTTGAAAGTCGGTGACTGCTGTTACAGTCAGTAAGGGTCGAAGGCTACAAATCCAGAGCGAAGACGGCACTGTGAAGTCTCCAAAAGATGATAAACGATGCTTGCTGCTTGTTTGTTCGATTAGCGAATAGTCAAATTTAAATAACACCGTTCTTACGTATACTGATAGTTGCGCTGAACGTTCGTTTGGGTATTATTAGCGTGACAGTTGGACGTTTGGAGAAAAGTATATACGAAAACTATGGTTGGATTCGTGGAGAATTTTCGAGGACGTTTAGATATTTTACAAACCATTATTGCATACAAGTAAATCGAAAATGGAATTAAAATGACTGTCGTGTAATAAGGAGATCGAGCCATGATTTACCGTGTGAAATAATAGCAAATACAAGGAGTATAGTAAACATTAATTAAAATGGTAAACACTAATGTAACTAAAGTTTAGAGGGTTCAGGTAACGTGGCCATTTCGTACAAGGCTGATGCAAGGAGCTTGTTACCCAACGTTAAGTGACATATTACGTACGACAAAGTGTCTACTCAGGACATGAAATAAGATTGTTCGTGTACATGCAATATGTTTTACCATATTATGTCGATTAACGAGTCACAAATGTACATGATTTCGACTAACACTTAACGGAAGTGACAGAATATATGACTACTTAACATGAAAGCAACTACGAAATGTTATTACGTATCATAAAGATAGTACGAAATAATCTAATGATTTCATGAAACTCGCCTGGGTTACTCTTGCTTCCAAGTAATGAAGATACGAAGTTGACAGTAGTTAGAATCTGGATTATATACGAGGTACTGTTGATTAGATTCTTCGATTAACACAGCGTTGTAGACTGAATTAGTACAAGTCCAGAATAAATCCAAGCCAAATACGTAGCATTGCCTGACGAACAGTCTAACCGAGATCTAAGATTGTAGAACATTTATAGTTCGAACTCACCGTAAATTTCTAGCATTTGTATCCTCTGTTTGGCCATGGAACTCGGCAATTGGAAATTAGGCAGGCGGTGGTCAAAAATAGAAATATTCTAGTGGATAGAGGTTAAGCAGGAAGACGAATTTAAAGTCGACAGTTAATCTTTTCTCGCATAAACTATTGGATAAGTTACAAACCGATGTGCGTTCGTGTTGTCTTGTGGCTATACCCACGAGTGGTTGATATTTTAACAGACATATTACACAGGAGCATTTACATGCTGCTAATGCTTGTTAAAGAACCACGATAGCCGATTATAACCGTAGTTGACTAGTTAGTTCAGTTGAAATACTAATCAACATTGACATGAAGCAACGAAAGTTCACAGTAACAGATTAACATAGGCGATGATAAAAATGGAAAAGAATAAGTATAGATTGCAATAATAAAGACTATAATGATAGGTTGCGTTATTCGCAGTCTTGCTCACCAGTGTAGATCACCAGCGTGGATGATCTACGTCGAAATGATTGAAGGCTTACTCGAATTAGACGTGAGTGGTGTGACAAACTAGCTAACGTCGAAGTCACACTTCGCGGTCTGCACCTTACATAGATTACCCCATTGACGTATCAAGGTACTATAGATGCTTTGAAGACTGTACAACACAGAGGACGTTATTACAGAAATATATTAGTTAAAGTGGACACAAGCGAAGGTAAGACCACTGACGCATGGGCCAGTCCATGGCGTACGATTAACTGATGCGCGTTGGTTTTCCTTGACATTGACGAGGATTGATGATTTTGTTTGATATTCAATGGCTAGGGCTCAGTGGAATTTCACTGGCCCTACATTATTATATCTGGTTTTTTAGACCCTTGTTTGATAGCTGAACAGTTCAAGAAAAACAGACTGTCAATATCGCCTTGGAAGCGTCATGTAGTGTGACGATTGCAAAAGATGGTTTGCCTGAATCAAACGCCTGTGGCCTTCAAAAGTTTAGTAAAAATGGTTGCATGTAGCTTTGTCAACAGTGCTGCTCAGATGCAAATGGATTGCGAGCCAAGGCCATATCAATGGTAAATGCTGCAAAAACGGGGTTCTAGCAAACGAGATCAAGACATATCGAACAGTACCCGTTCCTTAAATACACAAATTGATTTGAAGTCATCTCAAATAAGCTTAATAAAAGTTAACTTACATGAATCAAAGAAGAAAAGACTGTCTTCAAAGAGATCCGCCCCAAATAAAAACTCAAGAAAGGAATTTTCCTGTCCCTCATCTCCTAAATGGTATCCGGAAGGAAACGCCTAAGAAACGCAATCACACCTCTAGATCTGTTTCTAGAAAAAAACAACCCGAATGCTCAAGTCATTGATAGTCCTTCGGAATTCCACAATGTGTTCGACGCGACCGTCGTTGCTACTCCAACGAAAGTTGATGAATGGGTGCAGGTCAAGAACAAGAAACGACATAATGCTGTTGAAGCAAAGCCAACCCCCCCCCAAAAAAAAATTAGCCCAGAAATCAAAGACTGATCATAGTGGAAGGTCAATTAACTTTCGTAGAATCAAAGATATTATGTGGAATTATGGTCTAATTTGTTATTAGTATTGCTCTAATAATAGACCTAATCTTAAAATTGTAGGTTTGTCATGATGTAACTGCCTAATATACAAAATCTTACGTGGAAGTCTCAACATTATCTACACTGATTCACCGTACCGTAACAATCACCAATGTATGATGAAGAAAACGTTTAGGCCGGAGATAAAACGATATATATAATATGGATAAATTTTACAAGAAATGAATGTTCCCGCATTCAGTATTATTGAATTTCTCTTAGGGTTACATGTTTAAAGCCTATTTTCCCAGTTATCTCATTTTGAGCTTTGAGGATTGTGGTTAGGATCCAATGCTACTACAAGTGAAAGCTCGGGACCTAAAATTCGTCTGGAGCATGACAGTGAGTAAGATATAGATAAAGATACAATATATTTCTGCAAGGGCAAGTACACGCCATTTTTGCAGGCATGATCTATAAATTACAACATTTATTGTTTCACAGTATGCATGTTAAATAAATATAGTCTATAAAAGTGAATATCAGTTCATTCCTACAGATATACTGAGTAGTCTTCAAAATGTTTTCTAAAGTGGCATCGCAACCACGATTTCGGTCGTGCTATGTATTTATGCAATGCAACTTTTTAAGTTTAGCGTTGTTATAAAGCAGATTTGTAGAGCGCTTGGTGTGAACTATGACCTTGGGAAAACACGTACGTCGAGCATGTTCCAGATGACAGAAGTTCCATAACTATGTCCTCAGAGCAAGACTCTGAAAAAAAGAGAAACCGAGGAGCAGCTAGGCACTTAGTTATGAACGATAAACAAAACTTAACATTTTGTATTCGAACAGATAGGTATGATATATTAGTAGGTTAAACGCATACTAGCTTTTGTAGCTAGAGTGAAATGTTATCAGAAGCTCCAGATGATAGAATGAAGTGATAACGAACAATGAGTTGCTATATTTACCAAGATAGAGTAAGTTCAAATGAAGGAAAGGAAGTCACGGTTGGAATAATGAAGGCTGATTATCAGAACAGAAAGTGCATATAGAGATTAAAGTGTTCAGAAACTAATAACTATGCATTTTACTGTCTGATTTTCCATTTTTTTCTTTTTAACCATTCAATGCGTGCCACACAGTCTTAATGTAAAAGTCCGAATTAGCATGTTATAAGTTGTCTTGGTAGAACAGCTAATCAAGCATAAAATTGCTAAAGGTTTATAGACTAGTTAAGCAAACAAACTTGAAGCAAAATCAAAGCGGGCTGCTTAAAGTAGTATTTAACTCTCCCACTGAACGGAACTTAATACTTTAGAATGGACATAAACTAAATAGATCAGATTTTGTCCCTAAGGACTTACCACTCGCAGACGAGAAGCCGAAAAAGAACAAAAACGT